AGCGCATCTAAATCACCGCATAGTTGATCCCACGTGGCAGCCCCATGCGCGGTGTCATCAATATATGAACTACGCCCCAAGACCGGCCCCATTTGGGATGGCGCGGAAATGTTGCGCCTGAAACCGTCATCTGTTCCACAAGTGGTGTCATGCTGCGTTCGACGTCCATCTTGTCATTCGGCGACTGAGGATTCAACTTCAAGTAGTCTAACACATCCTGATCCACGAGTGCTTCCTCTTCGGGTGATAGCCGCACAAATCCCCACAGGCAATTGTTGATCATCTGTTGGTAAATTAGTGGAGCATTTTTCAACCCGAATGGCATACGCATCCATTGGAAGTGCCCGAATGGACAGGTAAACGCCGATATCAGCTTAGCCCCTTTCAGTCATTCGGACTGCCCAGAAACCATTTGCCATGTCAAGACTCATAAACCACATCATTCCTTCGACACCGGTGATGAGATCGTCGATCAGTGGTAGTGGGTAGTTCGACAATTGAATGAAACTATTCACGACTCGATAGGCGATGCACATCCGAATGTTCACTCCGTTCTTCTTGAGCACGATCACAATCGGCGATGCCCATGGCAATTCAGAGTGTCCAATTAGTGTAGCTTCCAGGAGTTTCTTCAGCAACTTGTATACCTTGATTGCCAAGTGTGGACCGACAGATCGAGGTCTTTGAGCAACTGGCCTGTCATCACCCACATCTAAATCTCAGATGACGGGAGATCGATGTCTTGGAGACGCAGCTGAGGGCGACTCGAGCCGTCGCAACCTAGCTATTCTTCCTGAGCCTCCGTGCTCTCGCCAGGTTACCCAATGTCAGCGCCTCAATATCGCATTCAGGAGAGAGATCATCCAAATCAGGTAGCATAACCAACTGATCTTTCAATTGAGACATAAGCTCACTCCCTTCACGAATATAAACCGCTGGTTCCAAATCGAGTTCTTCAGCGCTTACTCGCATACACCTGGCATATGCCGCATTAAGTCTTGAGAGTGGTGTTCCAGGCATGGCAGACGAAGGTAACTCGAGGTCCTCGTCCTCTGTGCTCAGGTCATCCTGGAATACATCGCATTCAGATCCCTGGGCCATCTCGTCTGGGACTTTTCCGCAAGATCCTGAACCGACAGCTCCTCCGCCATCCTAGATGCCGACATCTAGGGTGACAAGTTCAGGCGGGGTTTCGACAGCCATGACTGAACCAATTACGCTCGGGGTGTTATGCTTCAAACGTAACATCCTCAACTGATCCCACGTCCTCGACATCTCTCTGTGGTTGCAGCCCTTCCACAATCTTCGTGACCTGGGCTCGCTCAGGTTCCCTTGACCTCACTAGTAACTTCGTTGGCCACTTGTACTTGGGAACCATGACTGCAGGCGGAGCTGCGTCCCGAAGCATCTGTTCATACGCTTCCTGACGCACCCTTGCCTTCGCGGACAATGTGTTCTCCTGAATAATCTGTTGCCACTCCATATAACTTCGTAGTCCAGGGCGCACGAAATGTCCGACTATGGGGATATTCCCATACTCCACAATCTGAGCGACGGGTGTCCTAGGCTCGATCCAGCCATCTCGGTCCGAAACGTTGACCACTTTTATCGCCACAGCCCATGATCGTGCGCCGTAAACAATTTCGGTGACCTATTGGTCTCCTCGTCCTGCCCATACAACATCATGCAGCGGGCGACACTGTCCATATCGGATGGGCACATTTGCATGTACTCCAGGTCGTAGATGCAATCCTCGAAGGGGGCAGACTGGGATATCTCTGTATATACGTCTTCGTACAGTATACCCGTACATCAAAATCGATTCTTCATCCGGGAGACCTACCATTCCTTCACGAATACCTAGACGTACCCCAGCGCTGAACATGAAATCCATTCCTAAGAGTACATCCACCCCTTCTCCGATGTTCGTTACACAAACATCCATGACATACACAACTCGCCATCACAAAGTGATCTTGATCTGTGCACTCGAAGTGATATAACTCGGGACGCCACCTAGTCCTGATACCTTGATTCGCTTCTGTGAGTTTAACTTGATCTTGAGCCTACGCGCAAGGTCCAAACTGACCATACTCACAGTCACTCCGGTGTCAAGCAATATCTGCGTCCTGAAGTTATTCACCGCTCCATGAACCGTAGCACACTGACGTCTTTCCTCCTCACGATCATTCTCGACCCACCAGCCATACCGTTCCCCGGGGTTCAACTTGAATTCAGGTTTACCTTCGGGTTCTGGAGGCAATGGCGGTCCTGAAACACTTTGTCGAATATCCAAAGGAACAGGTTCGTCATGAATCATGGAGGTCATACATTGTGGGTTATCTTGGTTTCTGGTCCTCAATTAGGGGCCGATATACGCTAACACACACAATTCTGAGGGTTCTCTCAGGCCGACGCGTACCGAATCCCCATTCGGCGGGCTTAGTGGTTTAACGGCACGTCCTCAGAATCGTCCTTCCATTCAGGATATCTTCCCGAACATGGCTAGGCAGGTCAGCTAGGCCTCCTTGAAGAACGAGTTTCTTGATCTCTTGGAAAGCTTTCCACTCTTCGCAATGTCCATCGTGATATTCTCCGCACTTCGGGCAGGACTTAGTCATACAACTACGTGATGGGTGTCCGCGTCTGTGGCATTTTCCACATACCACGTCTGCCCAGCCCTTCTCCGGCCGATGTCCAAACTTCTTGCATTTCTCACAAAACTCCAATCGATCCGGGTTGTTGTAGGACTGGTATCCCTGAAACGCAG